TTTGAAAAATGACGCAGCTTGAGTATTCGTAAAAATTTTGAAGATCCTTTTAAACTTTGGAGCAATCCGAAAATTTTTAAAATTGAAAATTTTGGGAATGCTGAAAATTTGGAATCTTCGTAAACCTACGATGATAACTGTTACAGCCTACTGTGAAATACAAATGTTAAATCTCCACTTGAGGGTCATTCAAGTAAGCTCATTGTTAGTTTAAAATAATTATGAATATGGGATTTCGTATTACTAATACCTCGATGAAAAGCTATTGTCAACGTACCAATATTGGAAAATTGACAGACATTATAGGGAAAGATACATTAAACGCCTCAAAAAATAAAACTACATCAAAAAACTAACTAATAAATAAGACCGCCCAAAAAAATGAGAGAAAAATGGTACCGAAGAGGTAACAATTGATTCTAAGTGTCCCTAATCCACTGATTTAAAAAATGTAGTCCATTTTTGCAAGCTTTTATGCAACATGAACTGTGGGGCGAATTTTGGAACTGAATTTGGAACCAGTTGACCTTGACCAACTGAAAAAGAATAATAATTAACTACCACCATTTTGAGTCTCGTGTGACGGATGCCAGAAAATGACGATTCTTCATTTCCATAGTAACCCCATGTTATGGGTATCAAATGGGACGGCTTGAATAGAGAAACACAATAAGCCATTGTGACGTCATTCTAAATCCAATATGGCAACCGCTCCAAGATCGCGTTTATAATTACCATAGTCACATAATCATGTATGTATCAAATTAGAGGTTGTTATGAGAGAAACATAACATTTATAATTTCGACTCTCTATGGTATAGGTTTCATGTGAAGGGGCATTATGACGGAAACGTAATAAGCAAAGTGATTGTACTCTACCGTGATATGGGCATCAAATGAAAGAGCTCAATGAGAGAAATACAATAAGTAAATAACGTCATTCTAAATTCCGTATGGTGATCGCCACAAAATATCGATGCATCGTTACATGATCTACGAGCCCCTTCCCACTTCAGTTGGCCCAACTATTGAAATCTTATCAAACACAAATAATAAAAATGTAGCAGGGTATTATATTTTTAAAATGTTAACAATGAATATTTTGATAATATATAGTAGAAAACACCAACTTTATCACTCCCTAATCAAATTTGCAGCATAAAAATAACACATGTCGGAGTTACAGCATATTAACCTATTTTCATTTCAATGCAAAATAAGTCTATAACGCATAGGTGGCTGTGAAAAATAAAAGCCATGAAAATTGTTTTTATTAATCACAGCTGTCAGAATACATTTAAAATAGTGTTGGGTAGTTAAGGTTTTCAAAATGGGTAGAGGAAAGGTTATTAGTGAGAAAATTCGGTTACTGATAATTAAATTTTTTTAATTCTGGGAAATCAAACTCAGAAATTGCAACATTGTTAGACTTATCGCGGTACAGTGTGAGAAATATTGTTAGAAGATATAACGTAACTGGTTCAGTTAATATTAAGGCACGATATGTGAAAAAAAAGTAATATCACAAATGCCGACCGAAGAGCATTAAGAAGAATAATCGTGAAAAACAGGAGTGCCAATTATTTACAATTAAGTGCTCTGTGGACTGACGATGTTGGAAGGAGAATTTCGAGGTCCAAAACTCATAGAGAGGCCGACAAACTGGGATTTAGCATTTGCAAGATAAGTTTTCTTATAAAAAAGTGAAGTAAAAACCCTAAAGTTGCACAACTTGTTTATAGGCCAAAGAAAAGCCACTATTAACTCCACTGCAAAAGAAAAATCGGCTTAGATGGGCTAAAGAACATAGACAATGGACACCTCAACAATGGTGTGCAATACAATGGAGTAATGAGGCCCGATTCGAAGTTTGTGTTGGTGACAGTCGCAGTAGAGTTATACGCAAAAAAATGAAGCATTCCATGTTAACTGTCTGAAGAGACAAGTGAAATTTCCAGCATCCATTATGGTCTGGGGCAGTATGTCATCAAAAGGAGTAGGAAAACTTCATTTTATTGATGGAAATGTGGATACAAACAAATATTTGGCAATTTTAGAAGAATCGCTTTTAGCAGTGATGGAAGAATGTTTGACATCCGGCCAAGATTTTGTGTTTCAGCAGTCCAGATCTGTCACCTATTAAAATTTTGTGGCACGAGATGAAAAAGGTTCTACGACAACATCCTGCTCGTACAATCATCGAACTGAGACAAAAGCTTCAAGAAATATGGGATTGTTTTACACCAAATTTTTGCCAAAGCTGGGTTAACAGTGTTAACACTATGCCCCAAAGAATTTCGGCCGTAATAGGAAATAAAGGTGATGTTACCCAATGGTAAACTTTCAATTGTTGCTTTGTTAACTTCGCGCATTTATTCGCACTTTGTTTATTTGTTCAGATGTTCTATTAGTTATAGGTCTAAGTGATTTCAAATATGTATTTTTTACGACTAGAGTGTATCTAAAATGTTTTTGAGAAAATAAATTGTTTTAGAAGTAAATAGTTTCGTCATATTTAGTTTATAAAGGTATATTTTGGTACAAATCTTGAAGTGGGCCAACTGAAGTGTGAAGGGGCTCGTATATCTATTGAAATTTTAAAACACAGATAAGCAAGAGGTTTTCTGAAATTATATTGTAGAATATATGAAAATTATATAGAAAATACCAAACTAGCTATTTGACATCACAAATAGTGAAAAGTAAAATATACAAAGTGAACAATAAAATTAAAATCAAGCTTTCATTTAGCCTAGCTGTTAATAAAATTGCCTAAAGTTAAAAAAAAACTCGATTGGAGATACTTAAACGATCATGAAGCTCTTTCATCTCAATTTTTTAAATATAAGCAGTAAGACGGAAAAAGGGTGTAACAAGTTTTTATTTGGGAACTTGAGATAAAGTAGCTTCATTATTATTTAAATATTTCTAAACGGAAAAATGTTTCAAAATTCTTATTGCATTTTACTAACAACTAAATAAAAGCTTGATTTTAAAAATATACTTTTTTCCTGTTTTTCCTTTTTTCTGAAGCACCTCTAGTGTAGCATGCCATTTTCGACTCCGACATACAATATACGTAAAAAAAAATTTTAATGGTTCAAAGTTCCTGAATCCACAAAATCCCAAAGCACTTCAATGACTATTGTTTTTAACTGCGTATAACTGGTATATAATTCAATGATGGTTTTTAAATTGTGAATGATCACCATCTAGTAAACATCAATGACATAATAAGTCAGTTAAAAGTAATAAAAAAACAAAGGTTTATAATAACAATAACACTTAAAATGGTTTTAGGTCCAATAAAATTTACATTTTCAATATTGTTTTTTTAGGGTTAAAATGGCACACTTTGCTCTTTTTCAAACATTATATCGCTTATAGCTGGAAAACTAGATCTGCTATGAAAAAAGTATGATCTTTTTGGAATCAGATCATCAAACGCACCCAAATTCAGTATTTCCTTCTCCGGCACCAAATTGGCCGTTGTGCTCTGTAATCAATGCGGAAACAACTAAAATGTCTATTTTGAACTCAAGAGATTTGAGTCGAATCACTCGACCATCTTTCATAGGCTCAAATTCAGTAACTGCAAGGGTGAAAATGAGCTTACCTTCTGAGGGAGAACTACAGCCGACTCACACAGACTCGTTATTCCCGAGCAGTAACATGATAGACATCCTTCTTCAAGGTTTGACCTCAGCCCAAAATATCCTGGTTTGCAGCGATCACAAAATCTACCCTCAACGTGTACCTAAAGGAAGTAAAATGAAAAATCAGGACAACCTGTTAATGTTTCATTTTAGAACTTGATTTTATATATCCGAGCATTTTGAAGAAGTGTTACATCTGAAAATATTTGACGTTTTAAGAATGGTGGATGTTCAAAAATTAAATTCAATGATGTGGTGGATGCATTTCGAGTAAATCGCGGATGCATGTGAAAATATGGTGAATGTGATTTGAAAATGGTAGGCATATTTAAAAATAAGGTGAATGGATTTCAAGAGAATAGCGTGTACATTTAGAAATTTAGTGTCTGCTTCGAAAAAACTGGTAGATGTATTTAACAATATGGTGCATGATATTACCTTACACTGACAAGTATCTGCAACACATTTATTGGCGTTGGGTGCTGTTCCTTTGTCATCACAAGCACAAGCTTCACATCTGGAAAACGAAAAACAAATATTATTCTGTAGACATTTTGCGTCTCTTTTAAAAACTGTTTGAAGGATTTTCCAATAGGTTGTTGAAGATTTTGCTTTAAATAATACCAACAGTTTCGCTTGTTTACGCCCCATCAGCTATTTTTATAGGCAACCATTCTTCGACTAAAACTTTAGTCAATTTTTTTGCAAAATTGGAGCTCACCAATAGCTTGACAACTTGAGAAATAAATAAAATGCAGAGTAACATAACTCGCGAGACAGCTGTCCTGGGTTGACTGCCTTTGGTTGGACGGAAGCAAGTAGTATATTTTAGGGCCGTATCGTCCGTCGTTCCTACCATTGTAGAACGCCTTCGTTCAGAAAAGCTGGGATATTTCAGATTTCTACTATTCTCTGTCAGCGTCAGCGCTCTCGTATTGTGAGGCCACGTTTTCTTCTTGAATTGTAGGAAATTTCACGCTATATAACAACAGATGATATAAATCGAAAACATGAAAAATTTGATGTAAATAGATATTGCAACATAACCTCAAAATAGAGCGGTGACACGGAAGAGTAGAAAACTATGAAAACCAAGGAGGCCATAAAGGCGTCCTACAATTGTAGGAACGACTGAAGTTACGGCCCTAAATAACATGACAAATGTTTAGCCAAGGATATCAAAAGTCTTCTGATTCTTTGATTAGGCTTTAACCTTAAGAAATCCTCATAGGAAATAATATCTCCTTACCTGGGATATCCATCGTAACCAAGCGCGCATCTGTCACACTTGTCACCTTCATAGCCTACTCTGCACCTGCATTTTCCTTCGATGTCACATTCCAGCTCAACAGAGCCCACTTGGTCACAATTGCAGGCTAAACATGGTGAAGTGGCATTGGGCAAGACTCCTAATGGACGATAGTAGCCTAAAAGGCAACGCTCGCAGTTGATGCCTGTCGTGAAATCCTGTGAATAAAAGTAAATGGCCGTGATGATTACTGCTATTTACTATTTGGGCGACCAAAAAGTCGAAAAATGAGAAAATTGGAACAAATGAGGAAACAGGGAATGTAAAAGATAAAGGAAGCAGGAGATAGAGAAGATACCAAAGATAGAGAAGATGGAGAATATGGAGAATATGGAGAATATGTAGAATATGGAGAATATCGGGAATATAGAGAATATGGAGAAGATGGAAAATATGGAGAATATGGAGAATATGGAGAATATTGAGAATATTGAGAATATGGAGCATATGGAGAATATAGAATATGGAGAATATAGAGAATATAGAGAATATGGAGAATATGGAGAATATGGAGAATATGGAGAATATGGAGAATATGGAGAATATGGAGAATATGGAGAATATGGAGAATATGGAGAATATGGAGAATATGGAGAATATGGAGAATATGGAGAATATGGAGAATATGGAGAATATGGAGAATATGGAGAATATGGAGAATATGGAGAATTTGGAGAATATGGAGAATACGGAGAATACGGAGAAGATAGAGAAGATAGAGAAGATAGAGAAGATAGAGAATATAGAGAAGATAGAGAAAATAGAGAAGATAGAGAAGATAGAGAAGATAGAGAAGATAGAGAAGATAGAGAAGATAGAGAAGATAGAGAAGACAGAGAAGATAGAGAGAAAGAAAATATAGAGAAGATCGAGAAGATAGAAGATGCAGAAGATGGTGAAGATGGAGTAAATGTAGAAGACGGAGAAGATAGAGAAAATGGAGAAGATGGAAAAGGTGGAGAAGATGGAGAAGATGGAGAAGATGCAGAAAATGGAGAAGATTGAGAAAATGGAGAAGACGGGGAAAATGGAGAAGATGGAGAAAATGGAGAAGATAGAGAAGGTAGGGAAGATAGAGAAGATAGAGATGATAGAGGAGATAGAGAAGATAGAGAACATGGAGAGGATGGAGAATATGGAGAATATGGAGAATATAGAGAATATAGAGAATTTAAAGAATATAGAGACTATAGAAAATATGGAGAATATGGAGAATACGGAGAAGGTGGAGAAGATGGAAAAGGTGGAGAAGATCGATAAGACAGATACGATGTAAAAGATGGAGAAGATGGAGAAGACATAGAAGATGGAGAAGATGGAGATGTAGAAGATGTAGAAAATGTGAGGTATGTAGAAGTTGGATAAGATAGAGATGAAGAAGAAGATGGAGAAAGATGGAGAATATGGAGAAGATGAAGAAGATGGAGAAGATTGAGAAAATGGAGAAGATGGAGAAAATGGTGAAAAGGGAGAAGATAAAGGAGATAGAGAAGATGAAGAATATGGAGAATATGGAGAATATAGAGAATATAGAGAATATGGAGAATATAGAGAATATAGAGAATATAGAGATATAGAGAATATGGAGAATATGGAGAATATAGAGAATATGGAGAATATAGAGAATATAGAGAATATAGAGAATATAGAGAATATAGAGAATATAGAGAATATAGAGAATATAGAGAATATAGAGAATATAGAGAATATAGAGAATATAGAGAATATAGAGAATATAGAGAATATAGAGAATATAGAGAATATAGAGAATATAGAGAATATAGAGAATATAGAGAATATAGAGAATATAGAGAATATAGAGAATATAGAGAATATGGAGAATGAAAATGAGAAGAAACAAAATATAGAGAAGATCGAGAAGATAGAAGACGCAGAAGATGGTGGAGATGGAGTAAATGTAGAAGACGGAGAAGATTGAGAAAATGGAGAAGATGGAAAAGGTGGAAAAGATGGAGAAGATGGAGAAGATGCAAAAAATGGAGAAGATAAGAAAATGGAGAAGACGGAGAAAATGGAGAAGATGGAGAAAATGGAGAAGATAGAAAAGGTAGGGATAATAGAGATGATAGAGGAGATAGAGAAGATAGAGAACATGGAGAGGATGGGGAAGATACAGGAGATAGAGAAGATGAAGAATGTGGAGAATATGGAGAATATAGAGAATATGGAGAATATAGAGAATATAGAGAATATAGAGAATATAGAGAATATAGAGAATATAGAGAATATAGAGAATATAGAGAATATAGAGAATATAGAGAATATAGAGAATATAGAGAATATAGAGAATATAGAGAATATAGAGAATATAGAGAATATAGAGAATATAGAGAATATAGAGAATATAGAGAATATAGAGAATATAGAGACTATAGAGAATATAGAGAATATAGAGAATATAAGGAATCTAGAGAATATGGAGAATATAGAGAATATCGAGAATATAGAGAATATAGAGAATATAGAGAATATATAGAATATAGAGAATATAGAGAATATAGAGAATATAGAGAATATAGAGAATATAGAGAATATAGAGAATATAGAGAATATAGAGAATATAGAGAATATAGAGTATAGAGAATATAGAGAATATAGAGAATATGGAGAATATAGAGAATATAGAGAATATAGAGAATATAGAAAATATAGAGAATATAGAGAATATAGAGAATATAGAGAATATAGAGAATATAGAGAATATAGAGAATATAGACAATATAGAGACTATAGACCAATATAGAGAATATAGACAATATAGACAATATAGAGAATATAGAGAATATAGAGAATATAGAGAATATAGACAATATAGAGAATATAGAGAATATAGAAAATATAGAGAATATAGAGAATATAGAGAATATAGAGAATATGGAAAATGTGGAGAATATGGCGAATATGGAGAAGATGGAGAAGATAGAGACGATACAGAAGATATAGAAGGGAGATGACTTGGTGAACATGTAGAAGATTTGAGAAATAGAGATGCAGACGATAGATAATGCATGAAAAATACAGTGAAAAAATCTAAGAAATCTATCGAGAATATGAAGAGAAACAAGGAAATAGGCAAGAAAGAGAAAATTGAGAAGATCCATGAGATCGACAAGAATGAGAGAATTGAAGAGATGGAAAGGATGTAATAAATTATTGCACTGGAGAAGGTCTTGAATTTCATGAAAAGGAAAAATGTTGGTGGTGTTTCTTTAAAAAACAATTAAGTTCCATTGAAACTTTGTTGTAGCAGTATGATGTAATTTGAATTTATATGTTCATGCTCTTACCGTACAATTGTCGCATACGCCCCCACCCTGATAATTGCCATCCACATCCATGCTGATTCCGGCCCTGTCGACTGACTCGTCATAGTGACAGCTGACAGCGTGTCCATGACAATTGCACGGGGCGCACAGGTTAGCGTCCGCCCAACTGCCTGGCGCCCATTTGCGTTGGTTGAAGAGGGGGCAGCACTTGTCGCAGCTGGGTCCGCACGTGTGGTGGGCGCACTCACATTCGGGGTGCTGAAAGATAATATTGTGAAATTTTGTAAGGACAGCTCTTTTCAATGATCATGTGGTCGCACACAAACATGTACTTATTTCCGTCGGTCTCTCCGTATGCTAATCTTTGACACCTGTATAACTTGGAAAGTACCACTCAGATTTTGATGAAATTTAAACACAAGATTACTACGAGGCCAAGCACGATTTGCCCTTAAAACTTAAAATGACAGAGAAATATCGTTGCTACAGCCTTTGGTTACACCTGCGTGGCGATCTCACTGATTAGTTTTTGTGTTTGGTAGTCTTTGGTTGCTCCAGTGTCCAGTGGTACCCAGGCTAGCGAGTGGCATGGTATGGGTGAGGTTAGTCTTAGCAGCGTTGCCAGATGGTTGGTACAGTCAGTAGTGCAGGGAAACATTGGATGGACTAACTATTTGATTGGCGTTAGTTTAATTGTTTTGTTATACATGTTCGTATCTATTTTTCAGAGAAACTAACTTGTGCTGGAAATAATCGAAATAAGACAGCGCAAGGCGACATCTATCTATCTAACTGTTAGGGATCTCAGTTCAAATTTAATAGCCCAATCACTACGTGACCGCTAGATGGCTGACGATTGTGTCTGTAAAGTAAATGCGATCTACTTGCCATTCAATAAACTAAGCAGCCGTGTAGCGGCTTTGCGCTGTCTTATTCCGATAGACCGTACCTCGGGTATAGAGGATAGTTGCAATGCTTTTGTTCGTTTGTCCAGACACAAGAGACCAAACCTAGACCATGCTGATAAGTAGCCAAGAAGCACGAAACAGCTGTCCATGATTGGTTGTCCTTTTGGTCAGACAGATGAAAGTATCATGTTTAGTCTGGATATAATCCTTCAAGAACTGATGTCAGCATTACGTGAGAAATGCAGATTCAACCTACTTGATGCCAGTTTTTGGTATTCAGTTTTGAATAATTGCAATTACTTATCAAATTTTCGAATGCCAGAATAATAATAAATGAATTTTATTCGTCACCCTATCTAACAATCGTCTAGACTGGTCGCGGCCATGCCATATAAGCCCATGTCAACCATGCCTGCGCTTTTCCCAGAAAGCGACACATGGCTAAAGTAGCGAAACTACAACCTTTATTTGGTATTATTCGACGACTACTGTCGTCGACTTTGAAACACGCGCGGCCCCGTGCAACTCGTTTCTGCATGTTCACTTTTCCACAATTGTAGATGGTATGCTTGGATATACAGAGTGTTTCAGTTGATTGTTGCATAACATTAAGATTCGATAGAACTTTTAAAATTAATGCATAAAGTCTATATAAACATGGGTCGAAAAATGCGTGACTTCCGAAATAAATTTACTTTCTAAAATAGTTTTTTTTTAAATATTTCGAACAATATTTGATGTATAATAGTGAAAATTGGTATACAAGGGTTTTTTGGTACGACAAAACGATCCATGGGCATAGTTTTACTGTAGCCGCTAGAGGGCGCTCTCTACTGTACCTGTAGTGTATTAAAATGACCGAAAAATTTTTTTTAGTGCAACTTTTTGCTTTTTGAATAAAAAAACTGATTCCTCGCACTTTTCAACATAAAAAAGCTCTCTTGTAAATTTTCGTTATATATAGCCGTTTTTGAGATATTTCGATGTTTAAGGTTCGATGCATTTTTAATTATTTATGATAAAATAACGTTAAAAAGTCCGTATCTCGGTAATTTTTAGAAGTAGGCTGTGCGTGTGAAATTGAAAGCAGAATAAGGTTAAACGTCAATTAGTTGACAGTTAGTTTTGTTGTCTGTTGAATCCTGAAACGTTTTTTTGCAATTGTGAATGCACGAAATTTAGTTTCTTTTACCTGTTTTTTTTTTTTTGTAAGTTTTATGAAAATGCCATTTTTATTATCCAATCAAGAGTTAGCGGATATTCATTTTGTGTATGGCTTTGTAAATGGAAACGTAGCAGAAGCAGCCAGAGAATACGCACGAACATTTCCAAACAGACGACGTCCAACTCGCTCAGTATTTGTAAGAGTGCATCGCCAAATAGTTGAAAATGGTTTTGGAAATCTCCAAAGGGATCAAAACATAAATGTTCGTCAGCGCAGATTTACCCGTATGATTCTGCGTGAGTTTGATAGAGATCCGACCACAAGTGTTTCTGGTGCCTTGGGAATTTCAGCAAGCCATGTTCACCGTGTTCTTAGAAATGACCATAGACGTCCTTACCATTTGCAACCTGTGCAAGGACTACAGCCAGGGGACGGAGAACGAAGAATCACATTTTGTCAGTGGATTCTTGATAGAACTGATAATATTAGGGAGCTCTTAAGTAACGTTTTATGGACCGATGAGTCATGCTTCACTAGACGTGGAGTGGTAAATTTTCATAATCAACATATTTGGTCGCATGAAAATCCGCATGCAGTTCGGGAAAGAAATGTTCAGCATGAATTTAGTGTGAACGTGTGGATTGGTATCTACCGTAATCGACTATTTGGGCCCTACCTTTTGCCTGCAAGGTTAAATGCTGCCACCTTCTTGGAATTTTTAAAGGCTGAACATGCAAATATGTGGGATGATGTTATGTTAGATTTAAGAACATTGGCCTGGTTCCAGCTCATTATTCGAGAATAGTTAGAAACTGGCTGGACGAAAATTATCCAGAAAGATGGATCGGCCGTGGTGGACCAGTCGCCTGGCCTCCACGATCCCCTGACCTAAATCCATTAGGTTTCTTTGTGTGGGGATTTCTAAAAGAAAAAGTGTACCAGACTTCCGTAACCACAAGAGATATGCTAATAGACAGAATCAGGAATACATGTGATGAAATAAGGCCTTATTTGAATAATGCTATACCACGTTCGATCATTCGTAGATGTGAATTGTGTATTGAACAATTGGGTTTACATTTCGAGCAACTACTTTAGATCTTGTATGTTTGTCCTAACTATCCAACAGCATTTTAGTTGTAAATAATTAATTTAATTTGTTAATAATAATATTGGAAAATTAAACAAATTGATATTCTGTTTTTTTGTGTTTATTTGGAGTTAGGAATTATTGCTGTGTTTAAAAACACAATCTAAACGATCATCTTAATTACTTGTAATGCCCAAATCGAAAGTGTAAAAAAATATTATTTTCCCATAAATAATTAAAAATGCATCGAACCTTAAAAATCGAAATATCTCAAAAACGGCTAACTACAACGAAAATTCACGAGAGAGCTTTTTTAGAAAGTGAATTTAAACACCCTGTATTTCGGAAGCCACGCATTTTTCGACCCATGTTTATATAGACCTTATGCATTCATTTTAAAAGTTCTATCGAATCTTAAAGTTATGCAACAATAAACTGAAACACCCTGTATGAGTGCAGAATCATTTCCGAATTAAAGCAGTTATTATTTTTAAGATGAGTCAAGGAGCATCTTTTGAGTCCTTTTTCCTCTATTTCCATTAGTAAGTAAAAAAGGGGAAGTGTGAAGGTCCAAACATCGGAACTAGCTGGTGTCGCGCCAGGCTGATTTGTTTGCATTTAAACATGGCATCAACTTTTCAATAAAAGATTAACCGCAATCTCTCTCGTGGATATTCCTGTGATTTTGCATCTTTTGAAATTTTAAACTTCGGAGAAGGAAATCCTATAACCTTGTATTTAGTGGATTAATGTACTAAAACGTGTTAACTTCTTATGCAAATATCGTGGTTGTTTGGCGGCTAACACCTTACGTGTGACTGTTAATAAGTGAGGTTTCGACATGCCTACAACCTGCAAAATAACAAGCTCCTTAAATTTTTGAGAAATATGATCAAACATTCGTATTCCGCAAGAAAATCTGATTCATTCAAGTCTGAATACGTTGTAACATGCTTTGTTCACTATTGAGAGCGAAGCCATATACAGGGTGTTTCCAAAGTTGAGTCATTTATTTTAACTGCTTGTAGGACTCTTCAAGAGAAGTTGATATACCAAAAAATCACCTATATAAAAATTGCATAATAAAAGAATAGTAAAAGGATAAGAAATTAAAAAACTAAGAATGTTTTTACACATATTTTGCGATTTTTTTATGCAGTAAATACTCTGGAAGAACAGCGCACTGAAAATGCTTGTGATTTGTGGACACCAGGACATTATTTTCGAAGCTTGTAAAGGACGTGGATTCGCCGAGCAAGATTTTGCGTTAATCAAACAAATGACAGTTTTGACGTTTTTGCAAAAACTGTATCCTTTCAACTTGATAATGATTTTTTTTAATAATGTATTTTATTATGCAACTTTTGTATAGGTGATTTTTGAGATATCAACTTCTTTTGACGAGTTATACAACCTGTTAAAATAAATGACTCCACTTTGAAAACACTCTGTATAATAAATATATAAATAAAAACTAATTTTTGTCATAATTAATCTTTCACACAGTTGAAGTTTTAGTGAAGTAGACATTATTTGCCTATGCGGATAAAACTGCTTCAAAATGCAATATGATGCACTACATAATGAATTCACAACTTGTATATTAGTTCTATATCAATCAAGAGTCCCAAGTTCTTACATTCACTCATTATAGGAAGCCGGTTATCATGAATTTTGCGGATAATTTTCGTGTCGATCGATGTTTATTTTTCT